GAGAGTCCAAACAGCTGATAAAAACATCACAATAATCCACAAGTAATCCACAGCACTCCAGTCCATCAGTTAACATCAGGAGAAGACAAAAGCTGAAACAAATCCAGCATTAAGACGTTTTTAACTCAAATACATAGAGTCTATAATCCATAATAACTCTTCCTCCAGTGAAAAAGTGTTCTGGTGTGAATCAGGAGAGAAATCTGCACAGATCAAGCAGCGTTTAAACAGCTCTAAACACATATGTGGCTGGATTTTGATGTGAGACACAACAGGAGATGACCTTTTTCACCAGAGGAAGCGTTATTATGGATTATAGAAATATGAAATGCTGGATTAGTTTCAGCTTTTGTCTTCTCCAGATGTTAACTGATGGACTGGAGTGCTGTGGATTATTGTGATGTTTTATCAGCTCTCGTTCTGACGGCACCCATTCACTTGCAGTGAGACACTGAAGCAATGCTACATTTCTCCAAATCTGATGAAGAAACAATCTCGGATGGGTGAACTGTTTAAGTTCTGTTCCCATGAAGAAACAAACTCATCTACATCTTTAATAGTGCTTTGTAAGTGTCATATCTTGCACTTCAAGGTTCGTGGGACACTTCAAGTCTCAAAAAGAGCGCGAGGCTGAAATGCAGGCGAGGAACAAAGAGTTCACAAACATTTACATCAAGAACTTTGGGACGGATGTGGATGACGAGATGCTGACGGAGATTTTCAGTCAATTCGGTGAGTGTTTATTTTGAGGATGTGGTTGAAATGAAACTGTTTTCTCTTGTTTTATCGCATCTGTGCTTTGTATGTGAGGCCCGACCCTGAGCGTTCGGGTCATGACGGATGAGAAGGGACACTCGAGAGGCTTCGGTTTCGCCAGCTTTGAGAAGCACAGCGATGCCAAACGGGTGAGTGATGTGAAGCTGAAGTGTGGGATTCCCAGTGAAAGCGACTGTGGAATATTATGTGCATCAAAGATACTAGGCAGTATTTATCTGGTTTTGCATATTCATTTTTAGATGTCAATGCCACTTTTTCTTTTTAATTCTGCTACTTTTTTCGATTTTTTTTTTAACCAATAAAAACACAATGAGGCTCCCATGAGTGGCGTCCCAAATGAAGTACTGTACACTTATAGTATCTACTATGAATTTGAGAAGATTTCCCTTCCACTATGTAAGAAAAGCTGTGCATAATTTGCAGTATTATTTAGTATTTTGTTCATTAATACAAAATAGTTAACAAAATGTTTGAATTATTATTAATATTTTCAATTTGTATGTATTTTATATTTATTTACAGTTTTCAATTAAATTTTAAGGTTTTAGCAATTTCGTTGTGTTTGTCATTTTTATTATTAGTTGTTTTTTTTTGTAGTATGTCTAAATAATTTTTTATTTTTATTTCAGTTTTAGTTATTTTTTTGTGAAATAAAAACACCTTTTATTATGAAAATCTAACTATATGTGTTACAACACAAAACAAATCTAAGATTGTATTAATGGAAGCCCATTTCTTATCAAAATATTGGGTAAATCATAACTATGACATAAAAAGTAGATTGTTGTTGTTGTTGGAATTACTACTTAAAAGGTCAAAATTGAGATAAAGTGCCATATATCTGCCATTGTATCTCATCCAATCATGATGCATATTCAACATATGTCCATTTAAGCTATCCAACCATGTGTTTCTAAGTATTTAATGCAAATCATTTTCTAAGATGCTTAAAAAGCTAGCATGTCTAAAACAACATTTCCTGTCTCACACTTCTTGCACACACACATTAAACAGATTTCCTGTTATCTCTCAGCTCATCAAAAACTCAAGCATATCGATGATGAAGCATGCTGTAGTAGAGTAAAGAAAGCAAAGGAAATAATATCACAATTTCAGATAATAATCAAATTTCCTCCACACCAGCTAAACCAGCTTCATGCTACCATTTCACTTCGGTGTGTTAATTGTGTCATTCTGTTCAGGTGTGTGGAGTTAATTATCCTTGTTTAAGTTCCTGTGTGTTCAGTTGTAGTTTGGCTTGTCTGTGTTAAAGGGATAGTTCACCCAAAAATGAAAATCACCTCATGATTTACTCACCCTCAAGCCATCCTAGGTGTGTATGACTTTCTTCTTTCAGACGAATCCAATCGGAGTTATATTAAAGGTGACATATCATGAAAATCGGATTTTTCCAGGTTTTAAGTTCTATAATCAGGTCCCCGGTGCATCTACCAACCAAGGAAACGTGAAAAAGATGAACCCAGTAACTTTGTTTTGGGAAGCCTTTTTCTGCAAGCGTCTGAGAAAACGAGCGCGTCTGATTTTGCTCCCTTGGTGACGTGGCAAAGGGATCTCATTATAATATTACCGCCCCTTAATCTGTAAGTTTACACCCACGCCGCCATCATTGTGTTTTCGCAAGCGACAACAGTGTACTAGTTCTAATGCCATGATGATAGTTTGAGCGAAGCATGCTAACTGTTCTGTGTTTGGCTGCACAGACGAGCACAGAACACTGTTTAGAGTCCCAGCCTCAGAGGAGACAACAGAGCAGTGCATTTATTGATTTATTTACTGTATATTGCTGCTGCCACACAGATCTAAAATAAACATGTGATTTATTTCCGTGCCTCACACGGCTCCGGGGGGTTAATAAAGGCCTCCTGAAGTGAATCAATGCGTTTTTGTAAGAAAAATATCCATATTTAAAACTTTATAAACCGTAATCTCTAGCTTCTGTGTAAGGTCCATAGCATAAGCTCCGGTGAGAAGTGAGAGAGCAAAACAAAACACCGGACATGAATTAGACGTACAAAACGAAGATTTATAAAGAAAGATGTGGGAGGATTTCGATATAAGCCGAGAGGAGACTGGTTTTCCTTTGGTAAAGTAAGGAAACTTTACTTCCTTTGCTCCTGTAAACAAACGTCGGTTTTCGCGTACAACAGTTAGCAGAAGCTAGAGATTACAGTTTATAAAGTTTTAAATATGGATATTTTTCCTGTGTTTTACTCACCCTCAAGTCATCAAGCAAAGTATATGACTTTCTTCTTTCAGACGAATCCAATCGGAGGTATGTTTAAAAATGTCCTGGCTCTTCCAAGCTTTATAATGGCAGTGAATGGGTGTTATTTAGTTATCATTATAGTTATAGTTGTTATTGTTATAGCTAAAGTTATGGTTATTGTTAGCTTTATAGTTATCGCTGAAGTTATAGTTATTGTTATATTTATCACAAAAGTTATTGTTAGTTATCATCATAGTTATTGTTACATTTATTGCAAAGGTTATTGTTAGTTATTATTATAGTTATCATTGTTGTTATAGTAAGTTATTGTTATAGCTATCTTTATGGTTATTTTAGTTTATAGTTTATTATAGTGCTATTGTTATGGTTATTATTGAAGTTATTATTAAAGTTATTGTTATAGTTATTGCTGAAGTTATTGTTATGTTATTGTTCGTTATCATATTAGTTATAGTTGTTGTTATAGTTATCATTACAGTTTTTGTTATCGCTGAAGTTGTCAGTTATTGCTATCATTGTAGTTATCATTATAGGTTTTATTATATTTATTGCAAAAGATATTGTTATAGTTATTGCTTAAGTTATAGTTATTGTGATTGCTTAAGTGATAGGAAGTTATTGTTACAGTTATCGTTATGGTTATTGTTATAGTTAGCGCTATTGTTAGTTATCACTGAAGTTATCGTTATTTTAGTTATTGTTTTAGTTATCGTTATAATTATCGTTATTGTTATAGTTGTATATTTTATAATTATTGTTATAGTTGTATATTTTTCTTACAAAAACACATTGATTCACTTCAGGAGGCCTTTATTCACCCCCCGGAGCCGTGTGAGGCACTTTTTATGATGGATGGATGTGCTTTATTGGACTTCTTTTGGACTATTGAAAAAGAACACCCATTCACTGCCATTATAAAGCTTGGAAGAGCCAGGACATTTCTGTCCCTTTAACGTCGTGTGTGCTACCCTGGTTGTTGGCTTACCCTTGTTGGATTTACCTGTGTGTTGGTTTAAAGAGTTTAGAAAATACCTTCATCATCTCCGTGCGTTTGTTATTACCAGCGTAGCCCTGACACTAGTTTAAAGCTCATTGCTCATTTCTTGTTGGAATTTTTAGTGTGGACTGAAGAGAGAGAGAGTGAAAAGGATCATTAAAAATAAATTATAGCACCACAAACATGACTGACGTAAGACTTGTGTGCTGTAACCCGCAGGCGGTGGAGGAGCTGAACCGGACGGAGCTGAACGGCAGGCGGGTGTTCGTGGGTCGTGCTCAGAAGAGACGAGAGCGTCAGGTGGAGCTGAAGCGGCGCTTCGAGCAGATCAGGCAGGAGCGCATGATGCGCTATCAGGTATCAGAGACTCTGCGTTTATCACACAGACTAAAGGTCATGCACTGCAATCAGCAGAACTACAAAGGTGAGGTCAGATGAGTGAGCTTTCACTTGGGGAAAGTCCAGTGTCAATAGTGTCGTAACAGAAGGCACTTTCAAACCAAGTAAATTCACGTGCCAAACTGAACCCGATGCGAAATCTGCATTTGGAAATCTTTCGCCCTCATGCGAAATTCCCAAATGCATAGATTCCTGTTGAAATGACTGGATTTCACCTGCGAAAATAACTATAAAGTATAACTAGATTGAAAAGTTTGTAGACAAACTTTAAGTTGGCTTGAAAAAGCCTGGCTAGAAAGTTCGAAAAAGTTTTAAAAGCTTGCAGTCTGAAAGTAGTTTGAAAGTTATAGTTTTAAGGATTAAATTTGAATGTTTTCAAGGCAATACAGTCTATCAGAAAAACAGATAGGTATAAAACATATTGCTAGGGTACCTGGGGTGGTTGCTAGGCTGTTTCTAGCATGGCTAGCATGTTGCTAACATGTTTTTAGCATGATTACTAGCATGTTGCTAGCATGATTAGCTTGTTTCTAGCATGATTAGCATGTTGCTAGCACAATTAGCATTTTAATAGCATGTTTCTAACATGGTTAGCATTTTGCTAGCATGATTAGCAAGTTACTAGAATGTTTCTAGTATGATTAGCATGTTACTAGCATGTTGTTAGCATAATTAGCAAGTTACTTACATGTTGCTAGCATGATTCTAGCATGTTACTAGCATGGTGTTAGCATTTTGTTAGCATGATTAACAAGTTACTAGCATGTTTCTAACATTATTAATATGTTATTAGCATTGTGTTAGCATATTGTTAGCATGATTACAAATTACTAGCATGTTTCTAGCATGATTAGCATGTTGCTAGCACAATTAGCATTTTAATAGCATGTTTCTAACATGGTTAGCATTTTGCTAGCATGATTAGCAAGTTACTAGAATGTTTCTAGTATGATTAGCATGTTACTAGCATGTTGTTAGCATAATTAGCAAGTTACTTACATGTTGCTAGCATGATTCTAGCATGTTACTAGCATGGTGTTAGCATTTTGTTAGCATGATTAACAAGTTACTAGCATGTTTCTAACATTATTAATATGTTATTAGCATTGTGTTAGCATATTGTTAGCATGATTACAAATTACTAGCATGTTTCTAGCATGATTAGCATGTTGCTAGCACAATTAGCATTTTAATAGCATGTTTCTAACATGGTTAGCATGTTGCTAGCATGATTAGCAAGTTACTAGCATGTTTCTAGTATGATTAACATGTTACTAGCATGTTGTTAGCATAATTAGCAATTTACTAACATGTTGCTAACATGATTAGCATGTTACTAGCATGGTGTTAACATTTTGTTAGCATGATTAACAAGTTACTAGCATGTTTCTAACATTATTAACATGTTATTAGCATGGTGTTAGCATTTTTTTAGCATGATTAGCAAATTACTAGCATGTTTCTAGCATGATTAGCATGTTACTAGCACTGGATTTAACCTGCGAAAATAACTATAAAGCTTAACTATTAACGATAACTATAAAGCTTTAATACTCATTCTCATTCTACGAGAACAGGAGAGTTCGTAGCACAAATATAACGATAACGACACCGAAAACGATAGAATTGGAATAACTTTCACAACGATTTTTTCTGGCTGATGAACGATACAAATATTGACAGCCAATCAGAATCCATCCTGCTTCAAAGAGCTCGAACATTTTAGCGGCAGACGACAAAACTGCAGAAACAGACCGTTATCGTCTGCTATAGTTATCATTATAGTTATTGTGGTAACACTTTAGTGTAGGGACCAATTCTCACTATTAACTAGTTGCTTATTAGCATGCCTATTATTAATATATTGGCTGTTTATTAGTACTTATAAAGCACATATTCAACATGTTATATGTTATAGTATACAGTTACAGTTATCATTATAGTTATTGTTATATTTATCGCAAATGTTATTGTTAGTTATTATCATAGTTATTGTTATATTTATCGCAAAAGTTATTGTTAGCTATTATTATAGTTATCGTTGTTGTTATTGTTATCGCTAAAGTTATGGTTATTGTTATATATCGCTTAAGTTATTGTTATCGTTATATATCGCTAAAGTTATTGTTATCGCTATTGTTATGGTTAATGCTGCTGTTATAGTAGTTGTTATATTTATTGCAAAAGTTGTTAGTTATCATTATAGTTATAGTTGTTATTGTTATCGCTAAAGTTATGGTTATTGTTAGCTTTATAGTTATCGCTGAAGTTATAGTTATCATTATAGTTATTGTTATATTTATTGCAAAAGTTATTGTTAGTTATCATCATAGTTATTGTTAAATTTATTGCAAAATGTATTATTAGTTATTATTATAGTTATCGTTGTTGTTATAGTAAGTTATTGTTATAGCTATCTTTATGGTTATTTTAGTTTATAGTTTATTATAGTGCTATTGTTATGGTTATTATTGAAGTTATTATTAAAGTTATTGTTATAGTTATTGCTGAAGTTATTGTTATGTTATTGTTCGTTATCATATTAGTTATAGTTGTTGTTCTAGTTATCATTACAGTTTTTGTTATCGCTGAAGTTGTCAGTTATTGCTATCATTGTAGTTATCATTATAGGTTTTTTATATTTATTGCAAAATATATTGTTATAGTTATTGCTTAAGTTATAGTTATTGTGATTGCATAAGTTATAGGAAGTTATTGTTATAGTTATCGTTATGGTTATTGTTATAGTTAGCGCTATTGTTATTTATCACTGAAGTTATCGTTAACTTATTTTAGTTATCATTATAGTTATCGTTATAATTATCGTTAATGTTATAGTTATCGTTATGGTTATTTTTATAGTTAGCGCTATTGTTAGTTATCGCTGAAGTTATCATTAATGTAGTTATTGTTATAGTTATTGTTATAATTATCATTATTGTTATAGTTATCGTTATGGTTATTGTTATAGTTAGCGCTATTGATATTTATCGCTGAAGTTATCGTTATTTTAGTTATCGTTATAGTTATCGTTATAATTATCGTTAATGTTATAGCTATCGCTATGGTTATTGTTATCGTATTAGTTTTCGTTCTTAAAGTTATCATTACAGTTATTATTATCGCTGAAGTTGTTATAGTTATTATTATAGTCATCACTATCGTTATAGTTATAATTATAGTTATTGTTATATTTATTGCTAAAGTTATTGTTATAGTTATCATTACAGTTATCGTTATAGTTGTTGTTATCGTAACAGTATCGTAACGTAACATAGTTATAGTAACTATTAGTTATTATTTTTTGTTTGAGTTATATTGTTATAGTTATCATTACAGTTATCGTTATAGTAACTATTATAGTTGTTATTTTTTGTTTGAGTTATATTGTTATAGTTATCATTACAGTTATCGTTATAGTAACTATTATAGTTGTTATTTTTTGTTTGAGTTATATTGTTATAGTTACCACTATAGTCATGCTGAAAGTTCTCGTTGTAGTTGTTATCATTGTAGTTGTCGTTACAGTAATCACTCTAGTGTACGTGTTTTGATGGTCCTGACAGGGCGTGAATCTGTACGTGAAGAATCTGAGCGATAGCGTGGACAGTGAACGGCTGCTCAGAGAGTTCTCTCCGTACGGGAACATCACCAGCGCTAAGGTAGCAATCGATCTGCGATACATAAAAGAATAGTTATCGTTATAGTTGTTGTTATCGTAACAGTATCGTAACGTAACATAGTTATAGTAACTATTATAGTTATTATTTTTTGTTTGAGTTATATTGTTATAGTTATCATTACAGTTATCGTTATAGTAACTATTATAGTTGTTATTTTTTGTTTGAGTTATATTGTTATAGTTACCACTATAGTCATGCTGAAAGTTCTCGTTGTAGTTGTTATCATTGTAGTTGTCGTTACAGTAATCACTCTAGTGTACGTGTTTTGATGGTCCTGACAGGGCGTGAATCTGTACTTGAAGAATCTGAGCGATAGCGTGGACAGTGAACGGCTGCTCAGAGAGTTCTCTCCGTACGGGAACATCACCAGCGCTAAGGTAGCAATCGATCTGCGATACATAAAAGAATAGTTGTGTCGTTATTTAATTGTAACCCAGTGAACGTGAAGATCCAGGAGTGTGTGTTCTGTTCAGGTGATGACAGACGGCGGCCGCAGCCGAGGCTTCGGATTTGTTTGCTTCTCGTCTCCCGAAGAGGCCACCAGAGCCATCACTGAGATGAACTGCCGCATCATTGATTCCAAGCCCATATACGTGGCTCTGGCCCAGAAGAAGAAGGAGCGTCAGACTCTGCTCATCCACCAACACATGATGAGACGCCAGCAGCTGGAGGCCTACTGGCCCAAACCACACGCTGAGCAGGTCCAGATTCACATCACGTCCTCTGATCATCCACAGACTGACAGAGACACACATGTGACGAGCTCTGTTATTATTTCACAGGTGCAGGATCTCTCTTCATACCACCTCACACAACCTCAGCCCAGCTCTCAATGGGACGCACAGAGCGTCAGCCCTCGGGGTGAGCAGACCTTCTTAAACCCGCAAGACTTTGGTTCATCTTCGAAACACAAATGAGGATGTTTTTAATGAAAACCAAGAGCTTTCTACTTTCTATCTAGACAAGGTAACCAAACAAATCCATATCAAAGATGAACCAAAATAAAACACTTTCTAAAATGAATGAAATCATAAAAATGTAAAAAAATTAAATAAAAAAAAAACGTATTAAAATGAATTAATAAAAAATATAACATGCAATTTTAAAACAAAAACTGTCAAAATAAAACACAAAGTAAACAGTTTTTAAATAAAAACAATTGAAATAAAACACTTACTAAACACTAAAACATAGAAATACAAAATTAAAATTAATAATTTTTAAGTAAAACAATGAAAATAAAACACTAAAATTAATTAAATCATAACAATCAAAATTTAAATAATCATTTTAAAATAAAAACGCATACTAAAATGAATTAAAACACTAAAATGTCAAATTTAAATCTTTAATTTAAAAATGAAGTCAAAACAAAACACATACCGAAATTAAATCATTAAATAATTTTAAAATAAAAATAAAGCAATAACAAAACAAGTACTAAAATTAAAACACAAAAAATGTGCAATAAAAATAAGTAAAAATACAGCACTTTTTAAAATTAAATAATAAAACATGAGCAAAATAATAAAAAGTCAAAATAAAACTAAAATTAATTTAATCATAAAAATGTGAAATCAAATACTAAATCAAAATAAAACATACTAAAAATCAGTTATATAATCAAATGTGAAATTAAAATACTTCATAAAAGATGTTAAACGGCTTCGGTGTGTCATCTAGAGCTTCTGATGTTTTTCTTTGTCGTCCCAGTGAACCTGCCTCGTTGTGCACCGCAGCACATCTACACTCCTGAAGTTCACGAGTTCACAAGCGAGCCGCAGCAGCAGTGGGCTGTTCAGCAGGTGCATTATTGTGGATTTTTGTGTTTGTGTGCACTGTGTAATAGTCATTATATATATCTTAAGCGTTTCTCGCTCTGGTTCAGGTGCAGGAGACTCTGAGCTCAGCAGACAACCAGAAGCAGATGCTGGGCAAGTCTGCTTCCATGTTATTGTGTCCTGTCGATGTTTTCAAACTCTGGTCTGATGTACTTTTGTCCCGCAGGTCTCAGTCTCTTCCCGCTGGTGCAAGACGCGGTCGGGCCGCTGGCGAATCAGATCACGGAGATGCTGCTGGAAACGGATGAGTCTGAGCTGCTGCAGCTTCTGCAATGCCATCAGTCTCTGTGCATGAAGGTCCGTTCCCGCTGCCTCGGCTTTGGCTGCTTTAATGTGTGATTTGTTTCTGAAGTGTGTGTGTGTGTGTGTGTTCAGGTGAACGAAGCGCTTGCTGTTCTTCAGTCTCATCAGCAGTTCAGCAGCCCTGTTATTCCAGCCGTCTGAGACACAGATTCAATCATTATAAACATTAATATAAGTGAAAAATTCCATTTAAATTAATTTAATAATTCAATGTCTATAAAAAGATCGTTCTCCATAAATAAACCAAATATGTATGTTTTTTCTGGTTTGCTTTTTACAAGGCATCTCTATTTCTTTTTTAATCACAATGCCACACTTCATTTTCTACATTAGAGTTAAAGTTGAGTGGAGGCGGATGTAACCTGTGCGATAACAAGCTATATCCAAGCAGTTTTCACTGGGTGCTATGATTTAGTACTTTATCAGCATTATTGTGTTTACAAACAATATTCCCAAAGCACACTACACACAAAACAAGTAATGACAAGAAAAAGAAATATACAATATAACAATAACAAACAACACAAACATTCATTGAGAGTGTACTGTATGTGTACTTGGATGACAAGAGCTGTATTTTTATTAAAATAAAAGGAGATAAACACATGCAAGTTTGTTTCTGCCAGGGGGAGAAAAATAATCTCACAATTCTATTATTATTATTATTTTTTTTTTCACAATTCTGAGGAAAAAAGTCAGAATTCTGAGTATATATCTAAAAATTCTGTTTTTGTTCTCTCAGATTTGGGGTGTCTGAGTTTATATCTCACATTTATAATTATAATAACTCATAATTGCGAGAAAATAAATGTTAGAAATTAAAAAAATTCATAAAATAAAAAAAAAAAATTCTTTACATTTTATAATTAAAAAAAAAAATAATCGCAAATACCCTTTTACTTTTTTATCCCGTGGCAGAAACGGCCTTCCATATGAAAGGATTAGTTCACTTCCAGAATAAACGTTTCTGGTAATTTACTCACGCCCATGTCATCCAAAATGTTTGTCTTTTGTTTTTTCAGTCGCAAAGAAATGAAGGTTTTTGAGGAAAACATTCCAGGATTTTGTTCAGTGCAGCTTCAAAGAGCTCTACACGATCCCAGCCGAGGAATAAGAGAAACCATGATCTAGAGAAACCATCGTTCATTTAAAAAAAAAAAATATATATATATACTTTTTAATCACAAATGCTCGTCGTGCACTAGCTGGACTTCACGCATGACGTAGTCATGTTTAACAAGGAGGCAAGACACACACCGATCTCGGATTAAAAATTGATATGACATTTAATGCATTTAGCAGACTATTTTGTCCAGTTCAAACATTCCCTGCAAAACCGAGCCATGACCTTGACGTTCTCCTTTATTCTCTGCGTCATTCGCGCCACTCTTATTCTATAATTGCACGGACTCTTATTCTGCTCTTACGTAAGAATATAAAGGAACCTCACGCAACATCCGGCGAGGACGCTTTCTTATCTGAGACGCACTTCCGCTTCTCTTCCCCTAACTTGTGCGGTGCGAGAGAGAACGCGTGTGCCTCAGAGCCTCGGCACGCATCTTATATAAAAAACTAAAAATACAAAAAAAAAAAAATCACAAAACTGACAAAAATACAAACAAAAAATCTACTTTTATTGCCGAAGAGCTCGGTGAAGCAGGATCCGCGGCAGATTTGAGGAGTTTGATCGCAGAGCAGCACCACAGCAGGCCTGAGGAGATTTTAATCCGCTTGTGTTGATCTAAACCGCCGAAACATCGACGCCAAACCGGTACCGAACGCGTTTTAATTCGTCTTTAAGTGCGTATTTGACCGTCTTCGAGGAGGAACCCGAGCAGTTTCGGTCGTGTCCGCGTGTGTTCAATCAGGTCCGCGTCTCGTGTGAAGATGAACCCCAGCGCGCCCAGTTACCCGATGGCTTCTCTGTATGTGGGCGATCTGCACTCGGACGTGACCGAGGCCATGCTGTACGAGAAGTTCAGTCCAGCCGGGCCCATCCTCTCCATCCGGGTCTGCAGGGACATGATGACCCGCCGCTCGCTCGGTTACGCTTACGTCAACTTCCAGCAGCCCGCCGACGGTGAGCTCACCTGCGCTGCATGCGTTTAATATTCATGTGTGTATATATATATATTACACGCATACATTTTTTTTTTGGTACAGTCTTTTATAAAAAAAATGTCATGTGTCGTTTATATTTTTATTAGTGTGCATATATATAGTTTTTATATTTTATATATTTATATACAATATATATTTTACACATTGTGTAGTTTTATATATTTAAATATTTATATTATTGTATATGATATTTTAGACTGTTATACTTGTATTTAGACTTTTAAATATTTACATGTGTATATATTTTAGATTGTTCTTTTTTATATTTATGTATATTTCAATCATATATATATAGTTTTTATATTTTATATTTATATACTATGTATTTTACACATTGTGTAGTTTTATATATTTAAATATTTGTTATTGTATATGATATTTTAGACTTTTTTATGTATTTTAGACAGTTTATATGTGTATTTTATATAGATTTTTTAAAATATTTACATTTAGATATTTTAGATTGTTCTTTTCTATATTTATATATATTTCAGTCAGATATTATATGGAATATTTGATATATTTATATTTTCTATAATTTTATAGATATACAATTATTCATATACACACAGATTATTATTTTTTACATAATTGTGTATATATATATATATGCATTTGATTTACTTTTTATATAGTTTAGATTGTTATATTTATATTTTATATATTATATGGAATGTTATGTTTTATATATATATATATATATATATTTTTTTTTTTTTTTTTACTTTAAATAGCATTTTGTCCACGCAATAATAAAAGGACACATTTAATTTATAATTTGTCTTAAATCTCATTTTGTAAAAAAAATCGTGAATCGAATCGTGAGTTGAGTGAATAGTTATGTCCCTACTGTAAAGTGAACTTTAATTCTTATTTTCAACAGGGAGTCAATCTCTACGTGAAAAATCTGGACGACGGCCTCGATGACGAGCGTCTGCGTAAAGAATTCGCACCGTTTGGCACCATCACCAGCGCTAAGGTACGAACTAGCCAGGGCTGATTGATTTAACCGATCTTCATTTTAATGAACTCGTATCAATTCTTAAATCCTTAGATTTATCTTTTAGCCTATACTCTTTTTCCTGTTGATGCATGATTAATTGCACTAAACATTATTTGTATCACATCACAATAATCACAAAAGGCTTTGATACTTTTGAGAAAAAATTCTCATCTTTCACAGGGTGTCCGCGGGTCCTTAAAAAGTCTTAAAATGTCTTAAATTCGGATTCGATGGGTCTTAATTATTTTTGGTCTCATTACCGCTAATGTGTGTGTGTGTATATATATATGTATATAGTTACATTTTATTTATGAATTGTTAACTAATAACCCTGGCTGCTAGTAGATGTTTTGATCTTATGGCGTGTTTGTGTGTGGCTGCAGGTCCAGCGCTCAGCATTCGCGTCATGACTGACGACAGCGGCAAATCTAGAGGCTTCGGCTTTGTCAGCTTTGAGAGGCACGAGGATGCTCAGAGGGTGAGGAGCAGCGTGTTAAGCCTCTGTGGGGTTTTGTAACGGTCCCTGCAGCGTTGTAACCTGACGTGTTTCCTCTGACGCTCAGGCCGTGGATGAGATGAATGGAAAAGAGCTGAACGGGAAGCAGGTGTACGTGGGTCGCGCGCAGAAGAAGGGAGAGCGCCAGACGGAGCTCAAGCGCAAGTTTGAGCAAATGAAGCAGGACCGCATGACTCGCTACCAGGTAACATGAGCCGCAGATGAGAGCGGTGAAGGGCCGTTGATGTCTGTGAAGTAGGGATGTAACGATGAAGCGGTTGAAAATCGATTCAAATATGTGACGATTAAAATCGGTTGAGATGCCAAACAAATCGCGATTCAGTTAGGGGTAGGAGTTTATATGACTTGCATGTCTGAAGGGAACTTACTGTCTTTAGAAAAGTCTAGATGGTATTTTTTCTTTTCATCTTGCCTCTGTATAATGCATATTAAAGTTCATAAGTGCAGCTC